CAACTTTTACCCGTGAGGTGAGATAAAAATTCCAAAACAAACCAAAATTAAAGTAAAAAAAGGATTTTTTTAAAACAAAAAAAAAAAAAAAAAAAGGATGTCCGCGCCCCCCGGGCGCGGTTTTTTTTTTTTTGGGGGGGGGGGGGGGGGAAACACTCCTTTTGTATCTTTCGACGCAATTCAATGATGCCTCTTTTGATTCTTTGTGAAAAGCGGACTGCATTGCTGCTAATTCAGATAATGCATGTTTGCTTAGCTCTAATACTGTTTGCATCTAACTTAGAATTACTCGATCAACTTAAGCACTAGCAGGAGAGTTATAATCTGAAACATTTGTCCGCTGGCGAGACTTCGACCAGTGCCTGATGTGGGACACTCTCCTCCAAGTTTAGCGAAGATTCTGAGCGGTCCCCCAGTGCCATGGGTGATTTTCATTGGCAGAGCAAACACGGTGGCTCCTTTGGAGGGTAACTTGTCCAGATTGGCCACGTTCACATATGCAGGGATGTTTTCCTTGAATAAAGTTTTGCGAGACTGGAAATCTTTCGACTGGCCATAGTCAAGCGACGCTGTGTCCGAACCAACTGCTTTTACCTTTCGAGTCGCCATCCACTTGGCTGAGTCTGGGTGGATACCTGAAGATCAACAAGTTTGTCAGTCAGTAGAGAGACAGCAGACGCATAGTCTCCATTGCAAAAGGGTTTGCTTTTTCAACTACTCGTTTATTCAGGCTTGAATACAAAAACAACTAATTAGTAGCTGAATTATTAGTGAAGAAAAAGGGGCCCGTAGGCCACACGACTGTTACCTGAAAATACTGCTTGTCCCATTATTTTTTTTTCCTCTGGTGGGGAGATAATGTCCTAGAGGGTTCTACGTTTTGACTGAGCAAATGGTATTTTTAACGGTTGTTTTGGACTGCAGCGAGAAGTTTCGCCCTTATATTTTGAATAAGCTCAACGGCGATTGTTCTGTTTTTACCACTTTGTGATCATTCAAGACCATGGTTTCGGTTTTTCACGCAAACCCCTTTAGTTGGATTTTTTTACTTTTAAAAGAGCGGCTCTAGTTGTTCTGTGTCGAGGCTAGGAAGGTACAGCTGTTCTGTGATCCTCTGTTTTATTAAGCTAAAAGGGTGTATTTTAGGAACGCATTTGTGAACATTTTAGTACTTTCTTCTCTAAAAGAGTGCGAATACTCCTGTAAATAAGTGTGCACGAAGTTCCCGTACTTTCCTTCTAAAAACTGGAGTGGATACGTTGTCGATTTGGAACACAATTAATGATGAACTTTCTTCCCTGTGCTTATTAGTCCTTGTGCTGGCTGATCTTCACAAGGCAAGGCAAAAACGGGACCTACACGTCAAAAAACATATTCATAGTGTAAAAGGTGTCAGCAGGCCACACGACATTTACCTCATGCCAAAATGCTGCTTGTTCCAATAAGCTTTTTCTTTGGCGGGTAGATTATGTTCTAGAGGGCTCTACCTTTTAATTGCATTGTATGGAAGACATATGAAGTAATAAGGACTCCAAAAGGCGTCTTTAAACGTGATGAAAACGTAGCTACCGAGTCAACGCCTGTCACTCCCGTTGGGATTAACGCTTCGCAAAATAGGAGAAAACGCTTTTCCAAAGCGTGTAAATTGAATATCAATGATTATAACCGTACTTCTGGAGCTCAAAGTGAACGAATCCACAAAAAAAACACACACACACACACACACACTATCCGTTGGTCGATATGTTATTAAATGATGTAACAATCTCTCTAGCATGATCTACGGATCATACGACTGAAGCTTTAGTACTTACCTGGAAAGTGCATATTGGATACGTTTCCAGTGGGTTGCATTCCCAGATATTTCTTACTGTCGGAGTAGAATTTCCCCCACCCCGTGTACACTAACAAAATCACGCCCTCCGGGATCTTGCCATGTTTTTCTTCCCAGTCCTCGATGTCACTCGGCATCAACTGATAGTCCGAGTTTGATAAAGCCTTCTGATGAATATCTATTACAACAGATAGTCCAATGAGGTCATCCAAGGGAATTTCTCCTGTGCTTCTTTTCTCCTTGTACAAGCTTCTTGGTGCCTCGATGTGTGTCCCGCAGTGGTCGGAGGTGTGGAAGTCATACATAATTGCGTAAAACCCGTCTTGTGACGTTAGGAAAATACACTTGTGTCAAGTTGAAAGGTGTCATTCCTGGCCAGCAGAAAGTCTTTTTGCTATACGAATACGTCATATCCAGCCACGATACCTTTACGCGGAAACAAAGGATAAACTAATTATAATTTCTGCACGATAAAATTGTTGGAAATAAGAAAAAGGTAGAAAAAGAATACTCATGCAAAGCTAGAGTTGTTCCAAATCTCAGTTTAAAATTAACCCTTTCTTTTTCTTTTTCTTGTCTTTTTTTTTTTTTTTTGATATAGGTTGTTAAAAAAGGGTAACAAATGTATGAGTTAAAAAACCCAAACGCAGTTAACGCAAAGTCATCTTAGTGGTGTATGAATTTAGAACAACTGACAACAAACAGAAACGTTGAAATGAAAATGAACTAACAGTCCAACAACACATCGTAGAAATCAAAAGCTGCACACATCGTCTTCGCAAAGGGCTTCCTCTATATATTTCCATT